GAGCGTCATTTTATTATGCTCCAAAACGCGTGTCGCGCCCTTTGAAAACGATATCGGTTCCGCGCCTTGAATTATGTGGTGCCCTTCTTTTGGCACAGCTGTATAACACTGTGAAAAAATTCTGTGAAATTTCATATAAACCATGTGGTTTTGTGGTCTGACAGCCAGATAGTACTTTCTTGGCTCGCATCTACGCCTGGAACATGGAAAATATTCGTCGCGAATCGCGTTTCCGAAATCCAGACATTAACACAAAACGCAAAATGGCGCTATGTTCCGACGGAAGGTAACTGTGCCGACGTTGCAACAAAAGGTATTGATCCTGCTGATTTAGGAAATTTCGAGCTCTGGTGGAATGGCCCTCAGTGGCTTGCCAAGGATCAAAGCTGCTGGCCCAAAGCAAACAATTGTTTTATAGAAAATGCGAACATTGAAAGACGTGCACTACAAGTTTCTCTTTCCAGTATTATTTCTGATTTTGACATTTTTGAGCTATACTCATCTTGGTATAAATTGCGTCGTGTTGTAGCTCTTTGCCTAAGATTTATTAATCTGAGTCGTAAAAAGATAACGAAACCTGTAGGAGATCTTTCTCCAGAAGAATTTGATAATTCTGCGAAAGTATTATTGAGACTAGCTCAAAAACAAACTTTTCATTCTGAAGTATCATCTTTGCAACAGCATAAACTATTAAGTAAAGACTCTCGACTCAAAAACCTAAATCCTTTTTTAGATAATCAAGGTTGTTGAGGGTGGGAGGACGTTTGTCTAACTCTTCTTTGAACTTTGACTCTAAACACCCAGTAATATTGGCGCCTAAGCATCCCTTAACAAAGATGATCATTCGTGATGAGCACCACAAGCAGTTACATGCTGGACCACAAACCTTGCTAGGTATATTGCGCGAAAAATTTTGGGTACTCAATGGCAAGCCAACAGTTTGCAGTATTTTGCGAAAATGCATAACATGTTTCAGGATTAATCCTAGGACACTTGTTAGAAAAATGTCTGACCTTCCGATGGACAGAGTAACTCAAAATCGAGCATTTCTTATTTCAGGTTGCGACTTTGCTGGGCCTTTTAATATGAAGGACGGTAAACTACGAAATAGAGCTATCGTAAAAGCCTATCTCTGTGTTTTCATATGTTTTACCACAAAAGCTGTGCATTTGGAAGTTATCAGCGACTTAAGTACAAAGTCATTTCTGAACGCATTGAAACGCTTTTTCTCTCGTCGTGGCATTTGTAAATGTATGTACAGTGACAATGGAAAGAACTTTGTTGGTACTAGCAATGAATTAAAGCGTTTATATTTATCTCTGGATACTGTTCTCGAGGATCGTGAGACGATCGATTTTTTTCTTGAAAATTCCATTAAATGGAAACACATTCCACCATACTCCCCTCATCGAGGCGGACTTTGGGAAGCCGCAGTTAAGCGAGTCAAATTTCATCTCAAACGAATTGTTGGCAAGCTGACTCTAACGTACAAAGATCTTGCGACGATCTTTGCCCAAATAGAAGCAATCATGAATTCCCGTCCCCTCCTTCCCTTATCCTCTGATCCGTCTGATTTTTCTGCGCTAACCCCCGGTCATTTTTTGGTCGGTCATTCGCTCACGACCATTCCTCAAACAGACTTCTCGTCAACTCCTACAAATCGATTGAAGCAGTATGAATTACTCCAGCAAGCAGTTTCTATGTTCTGGAACAAATGGAGCAGAGAGTATTTGCAAACTTTGCAGAGAAGAACCAAATGGCAAACCAATTCGTCAGATGAAGTCAAAGAAGGAAGTCTCGTAGTAATTATTGATGATAATTCACCTCCACTCTATTGGCGCATGGGAAGAATCATTCAGCTACACAAAGGCAGCGATGGGACAGTCAGAACTGCCACTCTAAGAACGCAGTCTGGAGAAGTTGCTCGTGCATTGCAAAAACTTTGTATACTGCCAATTGACTCTTGTGATTTATAAAAACTGTTTTAGTTAAAAGACTTTACTCTTTCAAGGTGGGCGGCATGTCGCGATCGTGTAAATCGCGCTTTATGTGCCGTATGGCACCGCCACATTTTGTGTCTTTTTTTAACGCCCGACCCACAGAACCCAGCTGACAGAATCAACGAGCAATAAGCAGAGCCCGTTTTCGCCGCTACTTTACAACTTTGTTTTTGCCATAAAACTCACCATTTTTGCTAAAAAGTTATTAAGATATTTTTGTAATTAATATCAGTATATTGTAAAAGTTCAGTTTAAAGAGTTGACCTATAAAAATACAGTCCACATCGACGATTTCTGTTTTATTTGTTGCATGAGCAACGTAAATGGAATCATAACCTCAACGTTTGAACACCTATGTAGTTATACCTACAAAATATGTAATGAGATTATGAGATAAACAAACTACAACTACAAAAAAAAATCATGTACAGCGCAACTATCGCCACCTCATACAACTTTTAAACTGCATATGAGTCGGGGTAAAGACGAAGGACCAGACAAAAGGAAGACCCGCATATATAGTTACGTCACAAGGGTATCGGCGCTTGACAATGATAGACAATTCTCTTGGTTTATAATCTTTGGTTTGTGTCAATTATTCGTTAGCTGTTATTGTCATTGGCTGTTTTCTACGTGTCTTTACGTTATATTTTTCTTCTCTTTCGAGTAACGAAATTTGCTAAAACGTGACCCGTCTTTCAAATCACCCTCCATTCTCGTCCAAATGTCAGACCGCCGACCGCCGCTTAAGAAGTTCCACTTCAATAATCACAAAACACAATGATCATAGAGTATACCAAATAGAAGACACGCATCTGTAGTGACGTCACAAGGGTATCGGCGCTTGTCAATAATAGGCTATTCTTTTTACGCTCATAATCCTTGGTTTGTGTCAATCAATAGCTAGATATCTTTCTCCGTCTCTTTACGTTATATCTTTTTTCTCTCTCGAGTAATGAAATTTGCCCGTGACGCGTTTTTCAAATGTCCTCTAAATATAAGATCGCCGCCTAAAAAGTTTCACTTCAAAAAATTCACAGTACTTCACAAATGCTTGTAACTATTGTGACTTATGAGCTCTGAGATCTGCGAAAACTTATAGATTTGAATTAATTCAATTTGAACGAAATAGTTTTTCAGTTTGATTTGAATTAAATGAATAATAACAAGTTGATAGTTGGAATTTATCGAAAGCGGGACAAAAGTGGGACGCCTATTAAATCGGGACTCGTAGCTCGAAATCGAGACTGTCCCGCCTAAATCGGAACGGATGGTCACTTTAATCAAACGTCAAATTGACGAAGCAATGTCAAAAAAAGCGAATTTCGCGGTTATGAATACTAGGCTTAACGCACACGTGTGTTAGCCAAGACAATTGACACTTGACACACGCACAGTTACCAAAAGTGGAACTAGTGCGGATGTTCGCAAAGGTGATTTCAAACAGAGTTGCTCGAGAGTAGCAACCAATGATGAACTATAGCCAAAAACTGGAATGCGCACACATTGCCATATCTGCCAAAAAAATTAAGCCATGAAAGACAGATGCCACAAGGGGGAATGTTGTTTTTTTCTGTTGCTCGCTGACATGTGACGTTTCGTAAAGTTTTGTCATTTACCTTCACAGGTTTCATCAATTGGAATACCTATTGGAAGCAATTTCGACCATTTACCACGATGAGTGCGACAAAAATAGGTATCCCCTCCGAAGTAGCGGCACTAGGCTTCACGTTCGTCAATATGTGTGCGCATTCCAGTTTTTTGTTATAGTTCATTTGGTAGCAACAGTCAACAGTCGGAGCTTCAAAAATAACAAATAACAGAAGAGGGACAAAAGCAAAGGAGAACACACTTAGTGCTTATCGGCCTCGTTTTTGGTAATCGCCGCTATATTGGTTTTCAACCATTGCCGACGTCATAACTAAGACGTCAGCTGTTTAAACAGTCTACATCAAGGCGAGAAACGCCATGGTGTTTACGTCACAACTGGTTGTTTGGCATAGGGGGGTAGGGGGGGATTTGTTACACACAGGCCTTATGAGGATAGGCTATCCTGTAGTAGCAGTGTGAGTGTGTATCATCCTTGGAACAAAAGAGCAAGCTCTGAGTATACCGAGCGTGAACCCAAACGCGCCCAAGATGTCCAAAAGGACCTCGCACACTTATAGGATTTTTGACCGCAGTCAAATTTTAGTATGTTTTTGGCGATTTCCACTATCGATGGGGGCGCTGGCGTTTGTAAACAAATATGGCGAAGAACGAGTAATATTTTGACGTTCAGCATTGTATTTTCATGCATTATCGTATTTCTTTCGCTTATTTTCTTGTTGTTCTCGTTTTTTCACTATATTTCATAAATTTTAAATATTGTGACTATCTTTTGTGCATTTCGTATCCATACAACATGAAATATGGAAAATGGAAGCCTGTTTTTCAGTTTTACCACAGTTTTATTCTACCTGCAAGCTGGCGTAGAGAGCACGATCACTATTTTTCTTAGGAAAATAGTGAAAATGAATAGTTCTGTTTACACCTTTTCGGGAATAGCATTTGTATACACAGCAGTTTATGTTATGCTTGGACCACTTGCACTTGGAGGCAGATGCCATTGAATTCCTGTAATAATAGCACCTCACAGAATCACAATAAAAGCTTTCCCTGTATTATTTCCCACTTTTCGACACAAAACACGTAATTTAAATTAGGAACGAACAGGAAACATCGAAAAAGCAAGCAAATATTCCAATACGATATGTAAACAAACGATCTATTACTCGTTAAGTTAGTTCCAAATATTTCCGCCAGGTGCCGCATTGATTTTTGAAATCGCCAATAACAATAACGTGAATGCAAAAATTCACCGTTAGTCTCTTTAATTTATTGGTCAAAATCTGGAGCCTTCGGTGGATAACTGGCCAAACAATGAGAATACAGATTGCGTTCATATCCGTCAGACAGCTGAATTTTATAATAAAACATCAAATATAATTTTTTTTTTAAAAATATTTATTTATTTCATTTACACAAAATGTTTTCTTAATAATTACTAACAAATTGTAAAAGCATTCGAGTCACTATTACTTTATTTCTAAAATGCTCAAGGCCTGGTTTATTCGTCTTTAGATAATCTATCTGGTAACTATCTGCAAGATAAACTTTCCGTTCTATAATTGTACGGAAACCTGGCCGATCAATGAGGTTACAGCTTGCGTTTTTATCCATCAGATTGCATAGTTGAATAAACCGGCCTTTAATAATTAAAATATTTTTAATAACGATGGATATAATATATTTGATATCACAGAGACAAAGAAGATAAAAGAAGTTTTAAAACATTTGACAGATAAACTATAAAATAAACATCACATGTCACATGTCAATGTTGTTTGAGAACTTCTTTTAATGGGTTACAGATACTTATTTGGCACTTTGACAATAAGGCAATTGAATTATTATATTTATTTGATTGTCAGACTAATAACTAATATTCGACTTAAATTTAGCCGCGTTTGTTTTTGTCATCTTTTTCATCGATTTTCTCCGAAATTTTGATAGGTAAAATTGAAACTGTCTGATCCAGTCGCGTGCCTGTCAAAATTTTGAAGCAAATCGATGAAAAGATGACAAAAAGAATACGGCCTTTTTTATACCCTGACAAATAAATTTAGACGTCAAAAATTAGCGTCCCACTCTGACAGCTCGTCCGGCGGAATGTCATTGTCACTGGCGAAACAGTCAAAGTTGTTTGTGTCACATGGTCCTCTGACAGGTTGCTGAATTGGGGATTGAAGAGTTCTGGCTACCAAACCGTCCCAATCGAATCCTTGGAACCATCTAAAAATCACTTGTTTATTAGTGAAAATATTGGTTAAGGAGTGAGTTAAATGATGACACTTTTATAGTTGATTCATCAGCCAAATAAGTAATATCTCGTTAACTCACTTGTGTTTTTTGATATCCATAATCCCGCCTCGTTGATAGCCGAGCCGTTCCGCCGGCAAATCCCGGCACAGTTTCTTGATCAGACTCTGAGCCGATCTGGCAACGTTGTACTTGGCAAAGTCGATCATGTCGATACCTTTCAGGATCAGATTGTAGGTTTTCATCGGATCAGAAGCCGTAAATGGAGGACTAAAATGGATTAGAATTAAGAAATAATTTGAAAAGAGCTTTGTTCCAACAAATCAAGAAACCGTCACGATTTTGCACAATGTCGAAAATTTGTGTGTCGAACCCAAAATTCGTATACAGAGTGGTTTTGAAATCGTTCATGGGACGTGTTGGAACAAACCTAAATTTCTCCTATTCTAGAAGTTCAGTAGTTTTTGTTGTTCTATAGTTTTTCCTCATATCAGAAAGTGATTAATTTTTTTGACTTACTTTCCGGTTAGAAGTTCGTACATTAGAATTCCCAAGGCCCAATAGTCTACGGCTCGGTCGTGGCCTTTATTCAAGATGGTTTCGGGTGCTACGTATTCGGGAGTACCGCAAAAAGTCCAAGTTTTACTGCTGTAACCCATTTTTTTAGCAAAACCGAAATCCACTAGTTTTACGTAACCTGGAAAAAATTGATGAGTTTGTAACGATCCAGAATGATAATGAAGCCTTAATTTACAAGGACTTGAAATACAGAAAAAGAGATTTTCAGATTCAAGTGTAAAGTCTTAAGGGTTTTACACATTATGTTCTGTCTTGTCGGTTTTTATCGTCGCGATTAACAACGTCGTGTTATATTGTGGTGATGAAAACCGACGAGAAACAACGTAGTGTGTAGTGTGTAGGACCCTTTAGGATGACTAGGACTAGGATTAATAAGGAAAGATAGGTTTGATTTTATGGATAGAAGAACAAATATAGTCAAAAAACAACGACAAAGATCATCTCCAATCTCACCTCTACTGTCCAGCAATAAGTTCTCTGGTTTCAGATCGCGATAAATTATGCCTCTAACGTGTAAATATTCGAAAGCTTCGATTACGCAAGCCGTAATGAATCTGCAAGTGTGATCATCGAAACAGCCTCGGTCCCTGAGGATCGTCCAAACTTCGCCTCCCAAGCAGGCTTCTAGAAGCATGTAGACGTATTTTGAATCTCTATAAGTCCTGTATAATCTAGAAGAAAGATTTAGGTGAATTGAATAAAATTCGGTAAATTATTTAAAAAAAACGTATTCCAACAAATTCCAAGTGAGTTGAAACAACATTAAAGCTTCTCATGTCGGTTGCAACCATTGAGGTAGGTTGAAACAGAGCTTAGCTATTACAGGTGTTCCCCTCATCTGCCCCAGTATAAAAAGTGTATTATAGCGAATTCTGTTGGAAGGATTAGTGCATACTGAGTGTATTCATGTTTTTTTCTAACCAGCTTGTATAAGAAAGAGATAAAAAAATATTTGTTCTGCACTTATCTCAATTCATCTCATTTCTTGAATCTTTTCTAAATCTCTCCAAATAAAGAAAATTCAAGAACTTGCAATAAACACAACATTTCTTCAAGTTGGCAACGCTGTTAATCGATGTCGATGTAACAACACGACAGTTAGACAAGCGATAAAGTAGGCTTTGGAATATTTCAAAGTTTGAATTTGGCGCCCAAACTATTGTTCGTCGATTTTAATCTGATACTCGGACGGAATGTGAGCTGGTGGCTACCTACATTAGAACGCCAATGGTTACCTGACGTCACACCTGTTTTTGCCATATGAAACACCCCCTCGCTCCTCATACCGCAAGTATCAGTTAAAAATCGACGAACAATAGACACCTGTAATACCGACTTGGCAATAGATATTTCCAAAGCCTACTCTAATAGCGAATTCTATTGGAAGGGTGAAAACGTATTGAGTGTATCCGTGTTTTTTTTCTACCAGCTTGTATAAGAAAAAGATAAAAAGACATTTTGTCTCAATTTTTGTCTATTATCGGCTCTTGAATCTTTCCTAAATCTCTCCAAACAAAAAAAATTCAAGAACCTGTAATGAAAATAACATTTCTTCAAGTTGGCAATATTGTAAATCGATGTTGATGTAGCAATACGACAGTTTGACCAGCGATAAAGTAGGCTTTGGAAAATTTCGAAGTTTGAATTTAGCGCCCAAACTAGTCACCTGTAATACCGACTTGGCAATAGATATTTCCAGAGCCTACTAATAACGAATTCTATTGGAAGCGTTAGAGCGCATTGAGTGTATTCGTGTCTTTTTCTACCAGTTTGAATAGGAAGAGATAAGAATATATTTCTTTCTCTATTGGATCTATCAATAGAATTCGCTATTTAAGAAAGTAGCTCCAAATAAGTAGGGCTTCATACGAGTTACTATATAACGAAAACAACAACGTTGTACTTAGTCATCTCCTCTACGTTGTATTTTTTATTGAAATAATACCTTTTAAAAGTTTCAAATCAAATTTTAACGTAGGTAGTTGTTTTCAAGTTTGCGGTTAGATGGCGCCACTCTAAGCCAATATATAGCTACTACTGCTATGTGTTTGCTTGATATATCACCAGCGAATGAAAACACTGTTTTACTAATAACTCGGTTTAATTCTGGGCACTGAACATACAAATAAATCGAAATACTTTATTTTGTTAACAACAACACGATATCATAATTGCGCGGCCACAAGCTGACTAGAAGTAAACAACAACCTGGGACAGCTGTCTTCTGTCACGTCACGTCAGGCCGCCAGGGTTGTACACAATAGTTGAGCCATCCAGGGTTGAACACAACGGACTCGCGGAACAATGACGCCACATCTACTCCCCTCCCAGTGACGAAGCCACTTGTGGGAGGAACGAAACCTTCTTTTTTGAGTAAGTGCGAAGAGGGCGGTCCATGGTGAAGGATGACGCTGGGTGATTTTCCAGGGTGGATGAAACGGTATCGGGTTTAAGGGTGTAGGCTGGCTTCAGGGGGTCCACAGAGACAGTCTTCTCAACGCCATTGATTCGAATGCTGTACACTCGGTCATTTATTCTCTTGACGACTTCATGCGGGCCAGTGTAGGGCGGTTCGAGCGGGCGACGAACAGAGTCCACTCGGCGGAAGACATGACTGCAAGTTGCGAGGTCCTTGAGGATGAAGCAGCGAGATTTGATATGGTGAGCCGTAGGTGTTGGGCGGACTTTCCTGATGTGGTCCCGGTATTTTTCGAGGAAGACTTGGGGATCAGCTGGGGGTGACTCAGAGGTGAACAATTCACCAGGTATACGCAGGGGTGTCCCATAAAGGAGCTCCGCTGGTGAGGCATTCAGGTCTTCTTTCAGGCACGTACGCAGACCCAGAAGAACGGTCGGAAGCACTTCCGTCCAGGACGTGGGTGCTTGACACATAAGGGCTGCCTTCAAAGTCCTATGGAAGCGCTCTACGATGCCATTGGACTGCGGGTGATAGGGCGTGGTGTGGATTACCCGCGCTCCTACAAGGCGTGCAAGAGCCGAAAATAGTGAAGATTCAAATTGCGTGCCCTGGTCAGTTGTGATGGATAGTGGCGTTCCGTAGTTGCAAATCCAATTGACATAGAGAGCAGACGAGACGGTGTCAGCTTCCATGTTCTGGAGGGGTACTGCAACAGGCCATCTAGAAAATCGATCAATTATGGTTAAGCAGTAACGAAATTTGTTGACTGGTGGTAAAATGATGAGGTCTAGGTGAATATGCTCGAATCTGTTGTCAGGTACGGTGATGTGCTGTGGTGCGAGACGATTGTGTCGTTGAATTTTGGATTTTTGACACTGAATGCATTCCGGGACCACTGGAGGGCGTCCTTCTTGATTCCAGGCCAAACAAATTTTTCTTTGAGGCTTCGAGCAGTGACTCGGCCGCTGGGGTGTGCCAAACCATGCACAACATCAAAAGCTTTGCGTCGGAGACTTGTCGGAATGTAGGGTCTGATGCGATCTGAAGAGATATCGCAGAGGACGTTGGCGTTTTCAATAACAAGCTGTTGCAAATTGAGCGATGATTCTTGTGGCGTATCTTGGTCTTCAAGCTGTGCGGCTTCGATGGCTTTAGGAGACAGTGACGTTGGCATGAAGATAGCGTTAATACGAGACAGGGCGTCAGCAACGGCGTTGTGTTCTCCCTTGACATGGACGATTTCTGTGCTGAATTGTGAAATAAAGTCCAGTTGATGGAGCTGTCTGGGGGATGCTTTTTCAGCGCGCTAAGCAAAGGCGTATACCAGTGGGCGATGATCAGTTTTGATGATGAACTGGCGTCCTTCCAGCTGGTGACGAAAGAACTTTATTGCAGCGAAAATCGCTAGCAGCTCGCGATCGTAGGTGCGGTATCGCGTTTCGGTGGGACTCAACTTGCGGGAAAAAAAACCTATGGGCTTCCAGCAGTCGTCGATCAGCTGTTCAAGTGCAGCTCCAATGGCGAAGTCCGAGGCATCAGTGACGAGTGCGAGACTTGCAGAGGGTGAGATGAAGCTGGTACAAGTCGCTTTGAAAATGCTTTCTACACAGTCTTGGTAGGCCTTCTCTGAGCTGGGTGTCCAAGGGATGGGCCGTTTGTCTTTTTTCTTGGCACCCTTCATAAATGCATTGAGAGGGGCTTGAAGTTCAGCGGCCTTTGGAATACAGCGACGGTAATAATTGAGCATTCCCAAAAACTTACGAAGGTCAGAGATGGTCTCTGGCTTGGGGTAAGAAGCGATGGCTTGGATCTTGGAATCAGGTGGTTTGTATCCGAGCTTGTTGATGGAGTAGCCGAGGTACATAACTTCTGACTTGTTGATTTGGCACTTGCTGAGGTTGATAGTGAGTTTGTTCTCACGCAGAACATTAAAGATTTTGCGTAGATGTTGCAGATGTTCCTCATGGGAATCCGAGAACACTATCAAGTCATCAATGTAGCATGCTGCGAAGTCAATACCACGGAGAAGGTTGTCCATATGACGTTGAAATGTCTGAGTGGCATTGCGCAGGCCTGGAGGCATACCCAGGAACTCAAAAAGCCCAAAACGAGTAGTTATCGCTGTTTTGAGTATGTCCTCTGGTGCTACAGGAATTTGGTGGTAAGCTCGAACCAGGTCAATGACAGTGAAGACACTTTTCCCATGCAGCCGCTGAAAGATGTCTTCTGGTAGTGGTATGGGGTACCGATCTGGCACAGTCTGGGAATTGAGCCTCCTAAAATCACCTGTGGAACGCCATCCACCTTGCTTTTTCTGGACCATGTGTAGAGGACTGGCCCATGGACTGCTGGAGGGACGGATAACAGCATGATGCAACAGGAGGTCGAAATCCTCTTTAGCAATCTTTAGTTTCTCTGAGTTTAGCCGACGTGGACGGTCATTGACTGGCGGTCCAGTGGTGACTATGTGGTGATGAGTTCCCGTAGGGGCTTCCACTGATGGGGCTGACCTTGGACGGGTGATGTCAATAAACTCTTCCAGCAACTTGCTATAGGGTTGACTGAGTGTAGGAGGTGCATATTCTGCATTATTGACAGTGGAAACAGTATGAAGTTCGGTTTCATGCATTTCAGCAGGAGAAGACAGTGAGGTGAGAGAGTCCAGAAGGCGCTTGTGCTTTAAATCAGGAAGGAGGTGAAAGCAGGTCGGCACCTATGATTGCTGATTTGACGTCTGCAATGATAAATGCCCACTTGAAGGATCTGCGGAGTCCAAAATTGAGGTTAAGAAAGTGTTGACCATACGTTTTGATAACTGTTGCATTGGCTGCAAATAGCATGAGGTCAGCAGGCAGAAGTTTTCGTTGAAAGAAGCTTCTTGGAATCAAGGATACAACGGAACCACTGTCGATAAGGAACTTCATGCCAGTGACCTTGTCTATGACGTGCAGGCGACTTTCTTTAGATGGGAGGCAGGTGCTGTTGACATTGCTGTCGCTTACCACCTGAACAGGCGACAGCATATTTAGTTTTCCTGGCGCGGAGATGCTAGTGGCAGCTGAGACACATTTTTGGGCCCGGGCACCGAATTTTCGATGATATCGGCATTCTCCAGAAGTGACAGAACGCTCACGTGGTTGTCGACTGGTAGAGGTGAGACTCTGTTTGATGGCAGAAGTGAGGTCCTTCTGAGCAATGGTTAGTTCTGTGATGGCTTGTCTGAGTTCGTTCAGCTCGGAGGCTACTGAAGAA